GATAAGTTCATGGAGGATAGGTCCATCGATGACTATTTTGGTCAATTTCACTGTCATAGAATTTTCAAAATAGCAAATGTCATGATTTCAGCTATTTAAATCTGAAATGTCGCTGTGTTGTAACTGTAGGGGTCCCGACGCAAAAGGGGCTTGTGGAGGGGTCCCAAGGAGGTCGCGATATTGCCACCTTTGCTTCTGCGCTGCTGCTGACAGTGGAACTGCTTCAGAGTTAGGCAGTGGGAAAGCGGCAGCTGCTGGCCAGAAGCCCAGCTCTGAAGGCAGCGCCACTGCCAGCAGCAGCGTAGAAGTAAGGCCTGGTATGGTATTGCCACCCTTACTTCTGCGCTGCTGCCTTCAGAGCTGGGCCCTCGGCCAGCAGCCGCCGCTCTCTGAACTCCCACCTCTGAAGGCAGCAGCGCAGAAGTAAGGGTGACGTGGTATGGTGTTGCCAACCTTCTGCGCTGCTGCTGGCAGGGCGCTGCCTTCAGAACTGGGTGCCCAGCCAACAGCTGCCGCTCAGCTCTGAAGGCAGCAGCGCAGAAATAAGGGTAGCAATATCGCAACCCCCCTACAATAACTTTGTGACCCCCCCCCCATGATTCTCTTTTGGGTTGGGACTCCCAGTTTGATAAACGCTGGTTTCCCCCTTGAAATCTGTATAGTACAGGGTAAAGTACAAAAAAGACCTGATTTCACGGGGGAGACCTGATTTTACAGTCCGTGATGCATGTTTCACGGCTATGAATTTGGTAAGACCTTAGCTCTTAGCCAGGATGGGCAGGGCTGGTGTCCCCAGCCTCTGTCTGCCAGAAGCTGGGAGTGGGCGACGGGATGGATCACTTGATGATTTCTTGTTCTGTTCATTCCCTCTGGGGCACCTGGCACTGGCCACTGTCGGAAGACAGGATACTGGGCTAGATGGACCATTGGTCTGACCCGGTCTGACTGTTCTTACATTCAGGTTCTTAGGCTTTTAATGTTTTATTGGACCTGGTCAGGAGTTTTCAGTCAATGATTTTCCATTGGAAAATTCACTTTCCACAAAATTGTTTTCTGTTGGAAAATGGTTCCCAGCTCTGCTTCTCCCCCTCTCCTCAGAAGCCCGGGCTTCCTCGCTGTGGGGCGGCTGGCCACTGACCTGCCCGGAGCCAGGCAGCGCAGGGAGCCTCCGAAATATGTAGAAAACCCCAATGGAAATGTCCTTTTGACTTGTTCCGAAGCAAACGGGGTGCCCCTGCTCCCCGGAAAGCTCCGGCTTTGGGCCATTCTGACTCTTGTGGGAGTTCCCGAGGAAGGGGATTCGGGTTTCCAGCCGGCTCTGCGAACCGGGGGTGAGCAGGGCGGTGGCGCGACCTGCCCAAACCCGGCGAGCTCAGGAAGGATGGGCCAAGTCCATGGATAAGCGGGATCCCCACTTGGGACAGTTCATACTGGAGGGGAGGATCAGCGTCTGGCCCAGGGGTTTAAGCCCATTGCTGTCTGCAAGCCGCAGCCTGATCCCTAACGAGGGGGGCAGCTTGTCTCCCATCTGCACCTTCTTCTGCAGCCCCTGGGGCTGCCGCTTCAGAGCCAGGGGCCCAGGCGAGCTGGACCTTGGCTCTGACCCTCTCTGCCTGTTCCTCTGTTCACCCGCCCCAGGCAAATGGCTTAGAAACTAAACAGGTGACGGGAGCGACCCCTTCCCAGCGCTGTTGGCTCCTGCGTGTCTCACCTGAGCAGGCTGGGGAGAGGGCTAGTCTCTGCCGCTGTGCTCCCTCGGCTGCTCTGGGGAAGCCTGGGATGGGCACCCGCTGCTGGCTGGAGCCTGCCCTCTCCAGGTGCTGGGTGGCTTGGTCCCTCCTGGCTCGGGAGTGCCTGGTGCTCGCAGCTCCTGGGAAGCGGGCGGCAGAACTGAGAGCTTGCAGCACCTCTGCTCTGCTCGTGGCCAGGCTCAGCCGTCCTGACCAGGCGTTCCTGATCTCAGAAAGTAAGTGGGGTGACCTAGAGTCTGCAGCTGCCACCCCCCAGCAGATCCCCCTAGGAGCCCAGAGGGGGCTCTCTCCCCACACCGCCCTTGCCAAGTCTGTGATGTGGGGGTGTCTCTTTCCCTCTGCCCTTGGCCGGACTGGGCTGGCGGTGGCAGGCTCACTGCTCTTTGCCTTGGCAGAGCTCCTGGGCGTGGAGGAGCGTGTGCGCCGGCGGCCGCTGGACGGGGTGCCGTTGTCCGTGGAGTGGGTGCAGCAGACAGACAGTGTGCTGGTGCAGAGCCGGGGCGCCGGGCTGAGCAGGGACCTGCTGGAGCTCTACTTTGAGAACAAGCGGAGCGGTGGGGGCAGCGTGCAGGCCGTGAGGGTGCTGGCAGGGGGCAGGGCGGCCGTCATCTCCTTCCAGGACCGGGCAGGTGCGTGGGGCTGGGGCAGGGTGGGATCAGCGCTCGGCTGTCCGCTGGGGCTCCGGGGTTGGAGAGCTCCTGGAGGCTGGTCCAGGTGAGGCGTGGAGGGGGGGTCTGCTGTGAATGCAGGCGGGTGCCTCCAGCCTGGCACAGGCGCGCGGCCCAGCTCACACAGACCCTTCAGGGCTGCAGGCAGAGAGGCAGGAGCACACGGTCCGGAGCCCCCCTCCGGGGCAGGGAGCAGAGCCGGGTCTGGCTGAGGTTGCTGGAGCAGTGGGCACGGCACCCCTCCCTGCGTGGTCTGGGTGCGTCTGTCTTCCCGGGCAGCTCTCAAACCCATGTGCCTGTTTCGCTGCCCTGCAGCTGTGCAGCGGGTGCTGGAGAAGCCCCACAGGCTCCAGGAGAGCGACCTGGACCTCTCCCCATACTACGACTTCCTGGAGCCCCCTGACTGCCCCCCGGAGGAGGGAGCCGAGGCCCCCCCAGGGGAGGCGGTAGCAGTGGATGGCGGGCCCCAGGCGATCTGCGTGAGCCTTGAGGACACAGCGAAGCGGCAGCTGCTGGAGTGCAGCGGGGCCCTGCCGGAGCTACAGGCTGCTTTCCCGGAGCTGACGCTGCGGCTGGAGGAGAACGGGGCCTGGATCTCGGGCGGGGACGCAGCCCGGCGGCAGCAGCTGCAGGAGCAGCTCCTGGACACCCTGCAGGGGATGGCCCAGGAGCTCCTGCCGCTCCCGGCCCAGACCCTCAGCTTCCTGAAGCGCGGCGACGTGCGGGAGGAGGTGGAGCGGCTGCTGGCTAGCCAGGGCTTGCCGGCCTGCTACGCACCCAGCGGGAGCGCGCTGAGCGTGACGGCGCTGAGCCCTGTGGCCGCCCGCCAGGCCATCTCCTCGCTGAGCGCGGCCCTGAGCCCCTTTTGCCTGGCGGTGTCGGCGCAGCACCTGCACGCCCTGGGCTCGCCGCGCTGGGAGCAGCTCCAGGCCTCGCTGCGCTGCTGCACCGTGTGCCTGGCCCCCGGCGGCGAGCACCTGCAGGGCCTGACGCTGCACGGCCTGGAGCAGGAGAACAGGGAGAAGCTGCAGGGCTTCCTGCAGGACGCCGCCCTGGATGAGAGCCTGGTGTCCATGGAGCCGGGGATGCTGCGCTACCTGCAGCTCTACTACCAGGAGCTCCTGGCCGGCATCGCCGAGGTCACGCTCCTGCCGCTGGAGGGCACCGACGTCACCGGCTTCAGGGTGAGCAGCCGGTGCCGGCCTGCAGGGCTGGGCATGGGGGGTGGGGCGGGATGGCCTTGGGCCCCCACGGCCGTTTCTGGGCAGCCTGCGGGCTCCTGCCCCACTGCCCCGTGGGGCTCGTTTAGGGCAATGCAGCCTGCGGGGACTACAAGTCCCAGCAGCCAGTGCAGGCAGGTCACATGGTTCACGGCAGCACTGCATTCTGGGAGCTGTAGTCTGCACCATGCTGGATTGAGGGGGTGGAGATTGTAGTCAGCTTCATTAACTGTGACCCCTGGCATATTCCCCCCCCAACACCCCACGGGGGGAGCTGGCGTTGTACGTGTTGTGTGTCGCCCCCCCCCCCCAACCCCCCGTGTCGTTCCTCCTCCCCCCATGTCCCGCGGGGGTGGAGGGTGGGAGGCTGGCGCTGCACCTGTCCCAGCCCCCCCGGGTGCAGAGTCTGCCAGTGCCTCACGCCGTCTCTTGTCTTGCAGCTGAGTGGGGAGGCGGGCGCGTGCCGGGCAGCGGCAGAGTTCCTGCAGAGCCTGCTGGGCACCATCAGCTGCCAGCCGGTGACCCTGCGGCACCCCGGCGTCGCTCGCTTCCTGCTGGAAGAGCGAGGCCAGAGCATTCTCCGGGAGCTGGAGAGCCGCTTTCAGTGTGTGATTGGGCTGGAGCAGGTCCACTGGAGCCCCCCGTACGCACAGGTACGGCCGCGGCTCGGGGGACGTGAGCACAGCTGCTCCTCCACCCTGTCTGCCAGGCTCAGTGCTGGCCCATTGGGATGGGGCAGGCAGCCACTGGCAGGTGGGTGAGCTGGACACTGGGTCTGGAGGGGGTGTGCAGCTGTGGGGTGACACAGGTCTCTAGGGGAGCCTGCAGGCAGGCTTGGGGGGCAGTCAGATGAGGGCGGGTAGAGAGCCAAGGGGGGGCTGGCCCGGGCAGAGGCTGTTGGGTGCCGGCAGGGAGCCGGGTCCTTGGCTGACGTCTGTCCTGCCCGCCTGTCTCAGCAGGACCTGGAGCTGCCCGAGGAGCCCATTCCTCTGAGCTGCCGCCGAGACTCGCTGCCCACACGGCTGGAGCCGCCCGACGGCGACACCACTGACTGGTGCACCACCAACATAGGTAGGGCTGCTCCTGCGCAACTCGGACCCCCAGCGGGCTCTGTCCTGTGCCTGGGGGAGTGGACAGGGGCTAGAACCCAGGGAGGGGGCAGGCGGCCGGCCCTCCCTCCCCCTGCTGGAGCCCTGGGTAAAGGTCCAGAACTTCCTGGCTCTGTGGGGCTGGGCTGGGGGGTGGGGTAGCACTGTTCAGGGGCCCGATCCTGCAGCTCCAGCCCCCCTTAGGGGAACGCTCAAGGCCAGGGTGGCTGCACCATTCCCCTGCACTTGCCGCATGAGCTTGGCACTGCCGTGGCGGCTGGCAGCTTGTTGGCGCTTCTCCGGGCCAGGCAGCCTGTGCCCCGGCCCACCCCGCAATACGGAACCCGGCTCTGGTCCCACTGCCAGGGCCGGGGGCAGCCTGGCCGTGCCCTGGGGTACCGGCCGCTGCAGGAGTCGCCGCCACTCGGACTCCCCCACCTGTCCGCCCTGGTAAATCTTCCACCTGCTCACTGTGCAGAATGGGCCCCAGGGCAGTGGCTAGGCCCTGTCTCTGTCCTCCCCTCCCCCAGCCCCAGGGCTGCCCCGAGAGTCGGGCCCGGCCTGTCTAACCTGCTGTTGCCCTGCAGAGGAGATCAAAGGCCTGCTGGCCTCCCTGCAGCCCGGAGACGTGGCGGGGGCTGCCCAGCTGGCTGGCCCTGCTGCCGGGGAGGCCCCGGACTCGGCAGCGACCAGCCCTGAGGAGGAGGAGGATCTGTACACTGTGGGAGAGCCTGGCACTGCCGCGGGGCAGGAGGAGGCGGAGGCGGTGCCTGCAGGGCATGACGGGGAGCGGAGGGGCCTGGCAGACGGCGACGAGGAGGAGGAGGAGCTGCCCTGCGCCACCAAGTGCTCCAAGGCCCCCTTCCAGTCGCAGTGCAGCATGGAGGAGGAGGCGCAGCTGCTGCTGGCCATCCAGCAGTCCATGGACAGCCAGCGCTGGGAGGAGGAGGAGCTGCAGCGCGCCACGGAGCTGTCCCTGCGCGCCTACGAGCAGGAGCAGCACCAGGCCCCGGCAGAGCCCGCGGCTGACCGCAGCCTGCAGGCCGCCCTGGCGGAGTCTCTGGAGGAGGCGCTGTGCGTGGCCGGCTCCGCCCAGCTCACCATCTACTCGGCCTACGAGCAGGACGTCAGCGCGCTGCCGGGGCAGCTGGAGCAGGCGTTGCGGGCGCAGCAGTGCCAGGAGAAGGTGGCGAGCGAGGCTCTGCGGGCCCTGCCCTCGCGCTGCCGCGGGTACCTGGCCCAGCTGCAGCGCCAGCACACCGTGCGCATCTCCCTGCAGGACGCCACAGCCACCGTGCACGGCTTTGCCGACTACACGGCCCACGCCGCCCGCGACCTCACCCGGCTCCTCACCCGCCTGCTGCAGGCCCAGCTCCCGCTCGGGGAGCCAGCCGCGCGCTGGGTGCGCTGGGAGCCCCCCGGCACCGCCACCCCCTACTCCTCGGAGGCCAGCGCCCTGCTGGAGCAGGCCTGGCGCCGGCAGCAGAAGCGGCTGGATGTGCTCTTTGACGGCAGGCCCTTCACCATAGACTTTGAGCGCATGGAGGAGTACGACATCGGTGGCGCCTGCACCCTGGCCATCTCGCGCACCGAGCCCCTGGCCCCGGAGAACGGCCGCCCTGCAGGTGCGTGCTCCCAGCCTCCGGCCCTGGGGGGGCCCACCTTGGGTAGTTCTCCGGCTGTCGTGCAGGCAGCCAGACCGGCCAGGGCTTGGCAGCTGGTGGGTCCCGATGGGATGGGGTGGGGTCAGGGTTCCAGGCAGGCTGTCCAGTCTGAGCTCCTGTGTCGCCCCTGCCCCCCGCGTGCTAGCCCCGCACCCGGAATGAGAGCAGAGACTCCCAGCCCACAGGAGACCCGGCTGGCGTGTGCCACGGGCAGCGAACACCGAGAGCAGGGGAAGGACAAGGTGAGAGACCCCCAGGTAATCCTGGCAAGGGACCACACGCTGCAGGGGAAGGCGAAACCCCCCAGGCCCCTGCCAGTCTGAGCCCACTCAAGCCGTCAGTCAGCCCCTGGGCACGTGAGCTAGAACCAGCCAGCCAAGAGCCTGCAGCCTGCTCGGAGCCCCTCAGAGCCCTGGCCCATCCCGTCCAATGTCCCAGCTCCAGCCGGGGCCACCCTGATGCTTCGGAGGACGGAGCTGATAAAACCCAGACTATCCTGGGGGAGGGAACCTGTCCTGACCCCTGCAGGTGACCCCCTGAGGAACATGAGACAAACTGGAGTGAGCCCCTCCCCCACCAGCACAACCACCCCTTCGTTACATTCTCCAGCTCTCCAGAGACTCTCAGCTGTTTGCCCCACAGCTCTCGCTGGGAGGCTGCTCCAGAATCTCCCCCCTCGAATGCTCAGAAACCTTCTAATTTCTGGCCGGATTTGTTCCTGGCCTGTTTCTCCCCATTTGCTCTTGTGCCAACGTTGTCCTTTAGCTTCACCAGCTCTTTGCCCTGCTTAACTTTTCCCTGCTATATTTGCACAGAGCAATGCCTGGCCAGACAAGCCAACGTCTGCTCCCGTCAGACCGGCCCTCCATGCCCCCACTAATCCACATGACTCCTCTCTGCCCCTGGTCCCACTGGAGTGCACCGTTCCCGAGCATGGGGTCCAGAACTGTGCAGTGCCCCCGGCCTCGCTCAATGGCAGCAGCGCTGTCGCTCTGTCTCTCGGCCTGCTACATCCCTGGCCTGCACGTCCCTGTTTCACAGCCCATCCTGCTGGTGGCTCGTAGGCATCCTGTGCTCAGCCCCCAGCCCAGGTCTCTGCTCCGTCACGGCCAGCTGACGAGCCCCCAGCCTGGAGCAGAAATTCTTATCATTGGACCCTGCACTTCGTACTGTTGAATTTCATCCCATTCCTGTCGCTCCGGATCTTCCTGGAAACTCTTCCCATCTCCGCCTAACCCCC